ACAAAATTTTAAATTATATTAATTTTAGAAAAATAGTATTTTCCAAAGTATGTTTTCTAATGAATAACTTTTGTTTAAAAATAAAAAAATAACTAATAAATCGAAAATGTTAACTGTTGTAATAAATGTACAAACGTAAAATAATTACTTAAACATAATAATTTTACCAAATATTAAGACTTAAACACTTAATTATGCAAACTTTCATAATTATCTCAATATATATCATACTATTAAACATTATTGAATAGAAATAAGAAATCGAGATCGAAATCAGTATAAGAATAATAAAACATAAAAACCAATAAAACTTTAAATATCTAATCAAAATTTCAATTATATGTTACTATTTCTCTGAAACTAAGCCAAATATATAAATATAATTGTAAATTTTTCAGTATTCAGTAACCTTTAAGTTATAAAAATGTGGACTCTTTACAAGCCTACCTAAAAATAAAATAAAAATTTTTATCTAAATTATAATTTTTACACATTTTAAAAATCGACTTATTTTTATTAAATTAAATTTCAAGTATTATCTGTGAGCACAAGCACTTCTAAACCTGGTTTTAATTTAAATGAATGTTAATTTTAGCGTTTTATTAGATATAAGGCGAATAATTTGAAAGCAATTAAAAACTATTAATGACACAAATGCTTGAATTCGTGTTTAGTAGCAATTAAATTGGGGATAAAAATCGTTTCGTGTCTTCCAATGCAAATCAAACCTTACATTTGGTTTGCAGACAAAAAACTTTGTATTTTTAATTCGTATGTAATTACTATTTTGTTGGAAAAACTATTTGCGCGAAATAGTGGAAATACTTATTGAATAACCGTTTAGATAAAGAGATGAGAACTTTTGTGACCCCTTTTCGCATTGCCGTTGCATTTAGTTATGTAAACGAAATGTAATTTTATGTGAAGTCATGACTATTGAGTTAATATGAAGTTTTTTGCCAAAAGATATTTTCGCTGCGATAAGTAATAATCAATTTTTAGTAAATCGTTTCAAAATTAGAGAGAGAGAGAGAGAGAGAGAGAGAGAGAGAGATCGCATTAAATCACAGGTAGTTTTTTCTAAACTTTTTAATTATTGATAACTACTAAACTGAAAACTTAAATAAAAAACTAGTTTTTCTTATCCAAAGAATAGTTTAAACCCAATTAGAGTTTTTTATTTATAAAAATCTTGCGTTTTATGTTGAAAATTGTTTTTGTGTTGTAAATGTTTAATTGAATTCAAAGGTGTGAACAAATAAATAATAGTTATATGAGTGACAAAAGAGCCCAAGAATTTATCCTTAAGTTAATTATTATACAGTATATGCAGTGGATATGAAAGACATTGTTTGGCAAACATTAGCCCCAGTCTCTCGATAATACATTATATTGTATTATGAATCATATATTTGAAGTCATTTCAAAGATATTTCATTTGTCTTTTGATGGCTTCCCGCTATACTAATGACGATAAATTGATGAAAGTTTTGCAAAACTATACAGTAATTCATGTAATAAAATAATCAAATCGTTAGACAATTGCGAAGAAATTATAATATAAAGAAATTTTGCTCAAAAATATAATAATTTATTCCCTTTTATATATTAATGGCCATGAATTGTAATCACAATTATAATAATGTTTAACAATAAAAAGCATTTCTAAAGACACAGTAATTGGAGTTTCATTTCACATGCAGTCTATGAGACAATAATTTCTGATGAATAGATATATTTTGTTATTATTGCGAGAAATCATGTCTAAGGGTATTAAGAAAGCTGAACACGAATTCTGTATTCACTGCAAAAGTATTCAAAGAAAACTGTTGCAAATCATTAGACATAAAAAGTTATACGAAATTATTTTTGTCAAAACAATTTTGAATAATAAAAAGAAAAATTATTAAACCGACGATTATATTATCAAAAATAGGTATTATTAGTAAATGACATAATTATGTAAAAAATAGTGGATATAAATAGCAAAGGAATGCCTACTCTGTTGTTGCAGTCTTTCGGTACGTTTGAGCGCCAGTTCAGTCACACCGTAGCGTTCAATGGTATCAATATTTGTGGATATGTTTGCTATGGAGTCGATGGAGAGACCAAACAATACAATGGATCCGATGATCAAAATAATTAGAGAACTGATGAATAAATATTTGACAACTTTGACAGCACTTAATTGTCTCTCAGTTATATTCACTGGCGATGCCGTTGTGGGAGATTGTTCAGGCGATTGCGATGACATTTTGAATGTGAACTGCATTTGAGGACAAAATGAAAGCATTTAAACAAATGAAAAACACAAATGAAGAGAAGAGAGACAATGAATGGGACAAAAATGATAGGATGAGAGCACCGATAGTTGTGATGAATGACTAAATACTAATAAATAGAAAAACATTACTTTTGGCGAAAAACTTCCTCTCGAAGAGTCATAAAACTTGTTATAAAAAGTAGCAAAAACTGATCGCCAGAAGGGATACCAGAAATACTTCTTCGGCTCTCGTGGTTAACATAGATATGCTATGAATCACTCACTCATCCAATGATTCACTTTATGGAGAGACAAAACACATCAAAATAAAAAACTTTTTTGTGACACAAAACACATAAATATTTGATGAGCTTTTAAAAATAGAAATTATTTTTCAATTAATACAAAAATTCTCGCGTTTCGTATTCATTCGCCTTCCGAGTTGTATATATACTTAAAAAGCGATTCCTATATAAACTAATTATAGATTATATATATTTTAAACATTTTTATGTTTTTGGTAGAAATGAGGTTTCAATCACTTGTATGATAATAAAAGTTGTGTTGAAATTATTCACAGGAATGTAGGGAACAGTTAGGAATAGGTATTCAAAACGAGTGAATGTTTTCGTTTTGAATGAGTTATGCGATACTCCACTCACACCACACACTCTCAGGTAAGTCAAGTGTTAAGCATTTGCCTTGAATTAGGGGTTCCTATCGTTATATCGTTATTATAGCATATATTGTGGTTTGTTGTGACTCACCTTGAAATGACATATACCTAACAAACCACACACTGGAGCACAACCACCAGTTCCCCAGAGGTTCACCCATTCAATCTCAACAATACTTTAATTATAGTTGTGATTCAAATGAATACAATATATTATTGTAATAATATTATGATTCAGTTTCCGTCGCTTTTCATTTGAAAAACCAGAAATGTATGAATAATAAAAAGTTTTTTAAACTCTGATTTTAATCAAATAATTAAATGTTAAGAATTTCTAAAAGTTAGGTAACCATTGAGTACTTGATTAACGGGCAGAGAGAGAGAGAGAGAGAGAGAGAGAGAGAGAGACATTGATTGATAGAACAGTTAAGTTTGACTTACACTTCAACGCTAAAAGAGTTTGCAATTAATTAAAAATGTTTTGCAATTTCTAACACAAAAGTATGAAAACAATTTTTTCACTCTTTTTGCTCTTCAATGACATGATTTGTTTAATAGGTTTTCAAATGATAACTACAGAACAGTGTTGGATAGGGAGGGCTGTTGTGTTATGCATAGAGTTTATGATCACACCATCTGTTCATTTCCAGGTATGCTATTAAAGGTGTTATTCAGGTATTCGGGTTTATTAAGGCTAACAGTGCAATGGGTTATGTATGTTGTGCTGTGTTATTGAGTTTATAACTTTTCTCAATTCACATTTCACTTCATGTTTTACTTTGATTTTAATTTTTCAAATAATTTTACGCATTTATAATGCATTTAATTTAAAACAAATATAAGAATTGAACAGTAATTTTGTGTATAATTATAGAGATTTAACGCTTAGTTAACAAACTTATTGTTTTGAAAGGGCTGTTCACTCATCTCCACCTTTACATTCATAACAAATTCAATAATAACTCAATTATAATAGTAACTAAACTTTCGACTCCCAAACAAACCATAAGTCAAAACAAACAACAAAAATACCAGAGTTTAGCCCAAAATGTGTATTGAAAATGTCATAAAACTCAGTGAATAAATGAATCTCTTTTATTGGAATTGTAAGTTATTTTATGAAACAATAAAATATATTCTTTAAAACAAATTAATAATAAAATCAAATGATTAGAAAACAATTTCAAATAAATACTAATAACATTGGCTTATATCGTATATAAAATTAAATAGTAGTTTATGTTTAACAATATGTAGAAAAATATATCATTGATTGTATTGAACAGACAATACCCCCACTCAAAGGGGAGGGTTCATGACAGTGAGGGTCTGCACTTGGAGTCCGCCGTGAATGCAGATGTTGTCGATTGAAGTCAACGGCAATACTCTGTGGTAAAAGTCAAACAAATGTCGGTTATTCACGGAAAGGGTATACCTATTGGCCTCTACTCTAAGCGTGAGTTTGAAAGTAGAGTTTACGGCAAACGGAAAGCTCTCTAAATAGCGTTCACTGGCTTTCCATTGATTTGATTGATAGCTGTTTCTGGTGATTGACATCTCTTTGACGTTGACTTCCATATGAAAGGCCACGTCATTGACGGGGTCTTCGTATGGATTGGATCCCTGATAGAGACCCAAATCAAAGCGATTGTCGACACAGCGGGCGGTAATCGAGACAATCATTCCGTAGTTGAGTCCGCACTTAATTGGCTGAAGACATGGCAACTGAGGGTACGTTATGTGATATAACACGTGATCCGATGCGAAGTCATCGGCGGTGTTGGGCGCCGACGCCTGCGGTGGCGGAACCAGCGATGGCATCGGTCGCATCTGATCCATCGACACCGGCTTCTGGACCTCCAGGTGCTCGACAGTGGCGTCGCCCTCACAGCTGATCAGTCCTATCGTATTGAACGGCATTTTGTGCGCAAAGCTAAGGAACGGCCGGTCGTTGATCACAATCTGAAAGCACGTGATGTCCACGACTACAGTCAGTTGGAAGCGCTGGTTCTGGAGCAGAGGTCGCGGCAGTCGTCCCCTCGCCGTCCGCTCCTCTTTGGCCCAAATCCTGTTGAGCCGACTGTTGACCAAAGCGTAACCGCCGGACGGGTTGACACAGAAGTGGAGACCAATGTCTCCGTACTTCACGAGCTCTTTGGTGACGGTTTGGCCGCAGATTAGGTTCACTTCGAAGTGTTGGGCCGCAGGAAGCATATGACCCGTCAGTACGACCTTCGAGTGCGGCTCAAGACCTCCGCCATTGATCTGATAGTAATTGGCTGTCATTACCGCCGATTTCGACGAATGACTCTCGAAGAAGGACGAGATTATCTTCTTAGGGATCTGTGACACCATCGCTGCGAGAGTGGCACCAGATTAGCACTGCTGTGACGGCAATGTGTCTTAAGGTGGGTGTGAGTCGTGGATCCGATTGAAGACTCAAAACAATTGATTTGATTTTCACACGATTTCTGAACTATTTCTGGGATTTCAGTAGAGATTAGTCATTGAATTGATTTACAAATGGTTTTCACAGAAATTATGTCTCTATTTATGCCTCACTTTGCCTGAAGTTTTGCAAAGTTTTCGCATTTTTTGGTTCAGTTTTGTAGCGCCCGTTGCGGACAACCCTTTGCCCACATTTTCACACCCCTTACCCCTATGTCAACACGTTATTAGTATATGATGTCTAAGAATCTGCAGAATATTCTGTGCCTTTGAATTCGTTGTGTTTTAAAGGAATTGATTTAATTAATGGTTAATTGTATGAGTTTTGCAACTATTTTATATACACTCTCTCATACATTAACATCACTTTTAGCCGTAATTATCATAATTATGTTAATTATGGTTAGGGATCGGCTATTGTATATTGAATTGAGTTTAATTTGAAAGTTAATGCTTTTCAAAACCCTTTTGACGTAATTATCAGACACAAAGTTCAGGCACAATAATCCTGGTTTACGACCATTGCGTGTCTGCATAACAACATTATCTCAAACCCAACGGTTGTCTATGATTTCCCAACACTTATGTAAGTCTCAGTCAATCCAATCACTATTGGCTTTTCCATGAGGAATGGGTCCCAGAAAACCAGTCTATAGCTCACTCTCTCTATCAGTTGGATATTGAGTTAAAAAACATGTTTAACCGATAAATTCAAACACATGTCTCTCTCTCTCTCTCTCTCTCTCTCTCTCTCTGGAAAATACAGCACTAAAAGTTAGCAAACATTTTATAATTATTTATTGATTCAGTAAAAAACAGTCAAAATTACAGAATAAAAATTATATTAAGAAACACTTGTGTAATGAATGTATGAATTGAGCAAAATTTATACAAATTGTCTATAAAATGAATGCATAATAAATAAATTGATCACAAATTATGGTTTAGGAGATCAAAGCCATGGTGTCGTAGAGGACGTAGGATAGGGTGCCTCCCGATGCGATCAACGACATGGCAATGGCTGTCCATAAGCCGCTCTCGAGCTCCAGGATGTAGACGATGGGTCTGAGGAGGAACCACGTGAAGAAGAGACCCAAATGACTGATATATACGCCATAAATGCCGCAGAGGGTGAGCACCACAAACAGCAGAGGTATGAGACGGGAGAAGACAGCACTTCGTTCATTCACTGATCCCTGTCTGTCGTCCTCTAAGCCGTGATGACAGGTCACCAGAATTGCGTAAATCAGCGCCAGTTTGATGATAATCACCACCACTTTCACGGCAATCAATGCTAGCGTTTCCAGTAATGCCATTATTTGTCACAAATGTGTTGTTATTATTATATTTATTAATAAATCGTAGCTTTTATTGAAATGAAAACTTTTTTGTCAAACTTTTCCGTTGATTACAACTTTATGTTTGTTTAATACAAACAAAACGTTTTCTTATATACTGTCGGAGTATACGATAATATGGTTTTCGGCGAAAATATAATTATGAAACCATACTATCAATCGTCTGGTAATCGTTTGTAGAGATAATAAGTTGTAATAAAAGTATTTTATTTATTATTTACTTTTGTTTTTCATTAAACTATCAAATCATGTGACGATTTCATCACAGGATAAGTTTTCCCTTTCAATACAGTATTATCACAATTTTGGCACTTATTTCCAATACACCGGACTTTATATGCACTCAAATGGCATCAAAAGTTGATTCAAAACACACACAAATAGACTAAATATAACATCTATTTACTATTTACTTGATAACATGTTTCACAATAGTTTTAATTTCACTATTCGCTTGTTTATTAAAATGGTTTCATTGGTTATATAATGAAATGAAATTTTTAAACGAA